CTTCTTCCTTTCCAATTTGGATGTGCTTTATTTCTTTCTCTTGTCTGATTGCTCTGGCTAGAACTTCCAATACTATGTTGAATAATAGTGGTGAAAGTGGGTATCCTTGTCTTGTTCCAGATCTTAGAGGAAAGGCTTTCAGTTTTTCCCCATTCAGTGTGATACTTGCTGTGGGTCTGTCATAGTTGGCTCTTATTATATTGAGGTAAGTTCCTTCTATACCCAGTTTTTTCATAGTTTTTATCATGAAGAGATGTTGAATTTTATTGAATGCTTTTTTTAGCATCAATCGAAATGATCATACGGTTTTTGTACTTAGTTCTGTTGATATGATGTATCACATTGATTGATTTGCATATGTTGAAACATGTTTGCATCCTTGGGATGAATCTTACTTGATCAGTATGAATGATCCTTTTAATGTGTTGTTGAGTTTGGTTTGCTAGTATTTTGTTGAGGGTTTTACATCTATGTTTGTCAGAGATATTGGCCTACAGTTTTCTTTTTTTGTTGTGTCTTTGACTGGTTTTTGTATCAGCTTGATACAGGCCTTGTACAATGAGTTGGGGAGTATTCCCTCTTCCTTGATTTTTGGAATAGTTTAAGTAGGATTTGTATTAATTTTTCTTTGAATGCTTGATAGAATTCAGCAGTGAAGCCATTTGGTCTTGGGCTTTTCTTTGATGGGAGACTTTTTATTACTGCTTCTATCTCTTTAGTAGTTATTGGTTTATTCAGGTTTTGGATTTCTTCCTGGTTCAATCTTGGTAGGTTGTATGTATCTAGGAATTTATCCCTGTATTCTAGGTTTTCCAATTTATTGGCATATGGTTGCTCATAGTAGTCTCTAAATGATCCTTTGGATTTCTGCAATATCAGTTGTAATGTCGCCTTTTTCATCTCTGATTTTATTTATTTGGGTCTGCTCTCTTTTTTTCTTAGTGTAGCTAAAGGTGTGTCTATTTTGTTTATCTTTCCAAAAAAATTCAGTACAAAGTCTCACAATTATTTCTCTCTCCCTCCCCTGGGCACACGGATTCTCTCACCACTGGGCACTGTCGCTCTGCCTGGGGATGGGGAAAGGGTGTTGCAGGCAACCAAGACTATCTTTTCTGCCCTCTTCAGTGCTTCTCTCCCTGATATAACGTTAAAACCAGGTAGTATGATTGCTCACTTGATTTTTGGTTCTTTTGAAGGTCTTTGCTTGCCTGGATAGTTGTTGGATTTGGTGTTCCTGAGGAGGGTTGATGGTTGAAGGTTTCAATTCTTGGACATCTTGCTCCGCCCCCTTCTGTCAGTTTTTTGAACATACCTGGAAATGCCAGACATTAAGTAAATTAGTGTCTTTTCCATGCCTAGTATGCTTGCTCAGGCCTTCCTTGGCTCATAATGCCCAGTAGGATTTTAGGAGTAGGAACCTGTGCCAGAAAATCAGATCAATGTCTTAGAGATGGGGTTGGAATTCAGATACAAGGAAAGAAGACTCGAAAAATCTATAATATGAAAAGAATATAGCAAAAGGTTTGGCACAATTTAACAGCCTTTTATATTTAAAAAAGCAGAATTTAAAAACAAATATGGAGATGTTGATTATTTTTATAAAAATAGGATGCACCAAAAGTTTTATTTAAATCTTGTCACCTTTTACATCTTAATCACACTACCACTCTGTCTCACAACATTCTTAAAATACATCCATTATGTGAAATTTGAGATATAGTAGAGTTTAGAGAGGCAGACCAGCCCTCAGAGGCTTTAGTGAAAGATACAACCAAAAAATAATTACCTTCATTGATGCCCAAGCTCTGTTGTGGCCAGTTACACTGTAACGTTGATCTTCTCAGAAATAATGTTTCAAAAAAATGAAATAAAACTTTAAAGGCCAGGCAGCTTTAGCTGCTGGTAGATCCTGGGTTCCTAGACTTTTTGGTGTTGAAAAATGTTTCAGAGCCTCCTTGATCCTAAACCTAACTCATGGGGTTCAAGGTAAAAATGGATCATTCAGATTTTAACTCAGTCAACTCAGACTCAGGAAGAAAACACAAATCATTAAAAGCTGATCATATCACTATATCCAAAAAGTCTTTAAAAACAATCAGAAGTGTTTTATTAATTGTGGGAAATTACGTTTCTATGTCAATATGAGAAATGGTAAGAGACAGAAAAGAAGATTAACTCAGATTCCCAGCTCTTAGCTTTCTGGCCTGAAAAACAAGAGACTTTTTGATAGATATCTGGTTGTTTATGATGTGAATGTGATGATGAAATCTTAGGCTGATGTCATTCCTCCCTTCCTCAGAGAATTGTCTAAGTAAAGCACCCACTTTCTTTTCCCCTGCTAAATTGGCTACATCACTGTTTTTCTCCATCAAGTTAGGGGACATTCTTTTAGCTATTGTCACACCAGTGTGTGGGTTATTGGAGATGTTACTACACGAGAGCCCATGAAAATGACAGCTCCCTGGAAGAAATGGCTGGCCCATGGCCCCTTCCCTGGTCTGAGCAGGTGACCATAAATACTCGGGGTGCTGGGATAGTTATGTGAAAGGTCTGATTTATTCTACCTACGGTGGAACAGCCACATAAGCATGTAGATCCTGTCTCTGGGCTGTCTTTGTTGGCTGTGGAGAATAGAACAAGAAGATCTTCCTGTAGGCAGCCCCCCTGTTACAGCCACACAGACATAGGCAAAGTCATGCCTAGTACTAAAAGTGATAGCTTGGCAATTCTTTGCTCCTTTTTTATCAACTGCATAATCATGACTTTCATGTTTTCCCAATGTCATTCATTTGTTCCTCTCTTTTTTTTTTTTTGCAGTCTGTCACTTATTATTAATATTTATCATAACCATACTGAGCAAACTCTGGCTCTCTGAGGCCAAAGTTTAATTGCCATTCCAGCTGTTATCTGAGCATCAATCCAGATCTTCCTTGCTTCAGACACCCTGCAAGCTCCCTGTTTAACTCCTTTCCATCAACAGGTGTCACGCACTCAGAAAAATCCTTAATAGTTGAGAGATCCCTTTGATTTCCAAAGGACAAGGGGATGGATGTCTTTTTAATGACAAGGATGTGTAAAGCATAGCTAAGGTAGATAGCACAGGTGGCTTCACCATAGTCCTGTGGGGTAAGCCAACATGGGGATTCAGAACAAGATTTCCATGAGGATTTGAGAGAAATATTAAGAGAACCTAGGTAGAAACATCTACCTAGTCACTCAGCTTTTTCTCCTTTTATTCCCCCCAGAAACTCATTATATATACAGCAACATGCCCCAAATGTCCAGTAAAAATGGGATTTGGGTGGAAAGTGGATACAACCTAAGTCACCTTGGTCATAGGCTTTCTGTGTTTATCACAATTTCACCGAAGTGAAATTGCCTGGAAACATGTTTCATCAGCTTGACTTTTTTGAAAAGATTGGCCTTCCTACTCTGGTGAACTGAGTTGCATTCATATCTTATCATGCCAGACTTGTTTTCAGTCCATTAAGGCGGTTGTCGAACACTGTAGAAATTGGATCTGAACAGGGCCAGTATAAAGAACTGGTGGCAGAAGCAAGGAGAGGATAGGGGTGGGGGAATTAAAGAAGCGACTTCCTGCCTGAATGCATCCTTCTACTCTGATACGTCAGCTCCTGAGACAGAGCCATTTCTAGGGGTAGTGATGGAATTGGCATATATGGCCTGGTCATAGACCCAGGGCAATGATTTTTAAGTGGGAGGTGGTAGTATTGATGGAATCACACTTCCCTGATGTCAGTGGTTCTCTGTCTTGGCTGCACAAGGGGATCATCTAAAGAGCTTTTAAATATCCTGACGCCTGAGTCCCACCGGAGAGATTTTGATTTAATTGGTCTGGTGTGTCGCCTGGGCATTGGGATTTTAAAAACCTCCCCAGATCAGTGTAATATGCAGCTGGGGTTGAGAACTGCTGCTCTCGAGAATGTGATGTTTTTTGTATCAAATGGTGGCAGTTGTTAAAAAGGTTGAGAAACAGGTTTAGAGCAAAGAGAGAGCTCAAAGTAGGAGTGTTTATTTTATCCATTTATCAGACTTCGCAAGAGTGTGCATCCATGTCACATATATGTAGATGGAGTCGCTGAATCTTTTTCATCTTCATAGCTCAGAATAGATCTACTTCCTGATTTTACATTGTGAAATTTTGCTTTTCTCTGTTGTGCAGCTATGGGAGACATCCATTTAAGATCAACTGTTTACATGTGACCCATCGAAACTGTTTACTTCAACTTTTATAGAAACCCAGCCTCATGGAATCACTGCAAATCTATCTGCTCTTCAGACAATACGAAGGCCCTCTGAGATGCCACAGAGGAGAGGAAGCCAAATCTCACATCTGGATACCATTTTCTTTTTGTCATTGGTTTAGGATTTAACTGAACCATGAAAAGAACTACTGAAATGTTACACTGTAACATGGAACAGTAAAGGTACTGGTATGTTAATGGATAATCTGCATGACAGATAATATGTAGAAATATCAATAAAATTAACTCACAAGACCCAAATGTAGCAAGTTTCCTAAGGGACAATAGTGGATTCAGAACTTGACATTCTGAAGCACATCCTCATTGTAAACAGTAATGCTATATGCATGAAGCTTCTGTTTATTGTTTTCCATATTTAAGGAAACAACATCCTATAATAGAAACTAGCATGCAGGGCTAAGGCATATAGGATTCTTCTGCAGGACTTTAAAGCTTTGAGAGGCCAATATCTCATATGCTAACTTTAAACATGTATTTTTATTTTTGTTTTATTTTTTACTTTTCATATTTATATCAGCATACAAGGACAATTGTAGATATGTAAACATTTTTAAATCTTAAAAAAAAAAAAAGCAGCTGTTACACACAAGTGTATTTTGCCAAATGCCTAAAATCAGTCAGTCACAATCACATCATTGTCATCCATCCAGTGGTCTTCAAAGATTTTAAGCAGATGATGTTGTAAATATAGTGGTCAGTGCTGTAAATGTGTCTCTTTATAATTGGTATTTGTCCAAAACATGTGATATCCCTTTAAACGGTGCACAGTCTGGAGGCAGTTTTACTGAGTAATTGAGTGAGAGAACAAAATGCCCAGCAAAACTTCCAGCTCCCACAGCTTGCTGAAGCAGGAGTCCAGTAGTGCAGCTGCTGTGCCACCTCGAGACACTCTGCTGCTCCCTGGGAATCATCCAGCCTGTCAGCTTCCTTTCTTGAGGCGTACAGTGCCTGCCTCAGCAGCTATTATCTTTCAGGACCAGAGCGCATCTGCTGGTCTCACCCTGGAGGCTGTTGAGCCCCTCAGTGGTGTGTCCTGCTGAGATTAAGCAAATGCACCAAAGACACATGAAACCACGGATGCTGGTGAACAGGTAGCTTCCAACTTGCCAATGCTCTTACCCCTTTGTGGCCTAAAGTTTGGTTCCTTGAAACAAAACTGTTTCAAGGAAACTTTTCAGCCACCCATATCTGTGAAATGAATGACTTGTTTTAACAAAAACAACTGTTACACTGTTGATTAAGGATACTTATCATCACTGGGATGTGAGTCCCAGCAAGTCATTCTGCATTGACTGACTTTGAAGCAAGACGATGGAAGGTTCTTCTTTCTGAGCTGGGAAGCCTTAACAGTTCATAAAGGGTTAAATGAAATCTAAAGCTGCAAAGGTTCAGCAACTGTGAAGTTACACAAACAGCTGGCAGGGGAAAGAATCTGATGTTTTGAATCATATGTTGTGTATTTTTTAACCCATAGGAAAGTGAGAATTCTATGTTCAAAGCCCCTTCTTTAAAACCAAAGTTTGATAGCTGTTATAATGCAGCTCTATCATTCTGAAAGAAAGCTACCCTAGTGAGGTCTGAAATTGATGGGATCGATCACATGATCTGCTGTGAAGTGTACTTCTGATTTCCTCCTCTTCTCTGCTTTTTCTTGAGAGGAATGGAATCTGCAGACAAGATTTCAGAAATATCCTCTAAATTTGATCTCTCCCGGTAGTGTCCATGGACAAAATCCATTTCATCTCCATTTGTAATCATCTTAGATGCCCAAACTGAAGAGCCACCTAAGAAGGCAGCATTTTATACTCTGTGTGTTGATGTCTTCCGTAATGGACCTCTCTTCTGAAAGTCTTTGAAAATCTTTGAAAAGCAATTTAATCATCCAAAATTATGCGTTATGAAACAGCATTTTTCATTATAGGAAGGGATGTGATTGTTGATAATACAATAAAACAATCCATCAGACCAAGGTTTGGGTGAGTGTTGGACAACATTGCCACATAGCTCAAGCCAAGGACAGAAGGGCAGACAGATTGAAAGATGTAGCAAATAAAGTGACTTTTGGCCAAGATCACTTCAATGTGCACTGAATGTTTTTATGGTATTGAGTGTATAAAAGGCAAATGTTATAAGGTTTATTTTGACTATAAAAGAGTTTATAGATTTGAATGTAAGGCTATGTACGCATATGTAAATATGCTTCCTAGTTGTAGTTTACACAAGCCCTAATTTGAAAGAATCCACAAATGGCTAGCTAAGTAGTCAACAGATCTCTATCATCCATCTATCCATCCTTCTTCTCTGTCTTTCCTCACTTCAGTTATTTTTTACATGAAATTATTATTTCAAATGAAAATCATTATCATGTGCCTTTTGGGGGAGACATGGTTGCTCTAGAGGTATATATGAATAGTTTGTAATTGTCCTCCTAGGTAATAACCTTCATATGGAATTGAATGAAAAATGTTTTTGTTTTATTTGCAGAGCTTATGATTTTAGAAATACAGTCGCTTTAATGTTCTGTTCTGGGAATCGACTCTATCTCCCATGTTTAAACATTCTTAGAGCCATTGGTGGAATTCTTTCACAGATTTATAGTTTCAAGCGATAGTTTCAAGAAGTATCTATGTGTCTACTCATGGTTGGTGTCCTAGAGGAATTATATATAAATGACTTTTCATCCACTGAGATAGATAGAAGGGACCCATGGCACTAAATACAAGCACAGGATTATTTCTTTTTAAATATCTATTTTGGAGAGAAACTTTGAGGCCACAAAGCAGTTTGTATCATGCAACTAATATTTATATTTCCCAGTCCACTACAGGATCGTTGCTAAGCAGAGGAGAGCAGTTATTTGGCCTTTATGTTCCATTGTATGCCTTTTCCCCCTTTCTAAAGTTTTGTGCATCAATAAGACTGCAGATTGCAAACCCCACTGCCTGAGCTGTTCCATTCATCCATAGTCATTACAGTGCAGTAAACCCTGATTTAAAGGAACATTTAATTATCTCCACTAAATGTCCACAAGGGAGGTGTGAGATAGCAGGGATCCCTCAAGGAACGGATTGGCCGGACTAACTGCCTTCCACATCCAGCCACTCTTTCTTTACATAGGAAGTGTCATCCTTTTCTGAACTTTGCAAGCTAGAAAATGATCCCCAGGGCACAGGCAATCTGTGGAAAGGAATGAATCAGTACTTTTCAGACAGTGCAGCATAACGATGGCTTTCAATTTGCTATAGTTGCTGTATTTTTAAAGTAACCCAGCACCTCAGTTAGGAATAACCTATCATTAGAGTTGTTCCTTAAAAAAATGTTGACTAATAAAGCGATGTAGGCTTAAAATGCCAAGCTTATTTTTTAGTTTGATATTGAAAAATAATTTCAGTTTGCTTTATTAAGTGATGCTACAGTTTCTCTTTTTTCCCTCTTGCTTTAAAAAGGCTTTTAAAATTGTATTTGTACATAAAGTTAGTCCAGCATAGAATTTCTGAATATAGGATTAACAGGGTTTCTGAAAGAAGTTGCTAGAAAGATAAAATTAGATATTCTGTGCATTTCCAGAGAAGGACTATTTATGTTAGAATTTCATAAAAGACTTATTTTTTTTTCTTTTCTGTCGATTCCCTTACATATCTTCATAATTTAATCCTGCCCATTGTCCCAAATCTCTTATGGCTACTTTACTTGTTACCTTTCTTTGGATCTTGTTTTTTACTTTATACAGTTACCTTTGAGCCGGAGGAAGTATGGTATTTTTATTCACTTCTTTCAGTGCTTCAAAACTGTTTGTTCATTTATTCATTTCATCCATTCATTTCCCGTTGTCATTGTAGTTCTCTTTTAACCTATATATATAGTGCTTTAAATATTTATGTTATTATATTCGACATGATAATAAATCCTTATCTAAAGAAAAGACTAATTTACTTTATTTTACTTAAAGGAAAGGGAGTGTATTGGCAGGTTATTGAGTAGCTTGCAGAATATATGGGAAAGGGAGAACGAAGGTTGGAACCAACAGGAATGAGAGAGGCAACACATCTGCCACACGGCCTGATCAGGGCACCATTGGCTGCTGCCACTGGACTCCCCATATGGGCAGTGTACTGTAAATAGCATCTGCCCAGTTGGTAAGTTGGCATGAATTTTCCACAAAACACTTTGACTCCCATTTGTAATATAATGTCTACTTTTTATGCTCAAGTATCTTTTTCCTTTACTTTATCTTTTCCTCTAAAATCACCACCTAAATACTTTCCCTCCCTTAAATATATGAAGTAAAGATGAATTTCTCCTTGCTCCACTAGCTTTATATAAGAAGCAAACATTTCTATGGAATTATAAGGCTTAATTTGGGACTCAAACCTTTTTTCCCTTCTCTGAGATACTTTCTGAATGCAAAAGACTACTCTGATTTTGGATGAGCAGCTTTTCTCCCAGCGTCAGAGAACTAAGGACTTTCATAAACAGTTTCCTCTGTTTATTGTATTGTGAGGGGCCCAGTCTGCTCTCATGAAGATCAGCTGAGAGGCGGCGGCCCATCCTGATATGTGTGAGCAACTGTGTGTTAACGTACCCCTGCCGGGAACTGTTGGCACATGCTTGTAGCATATGCTATGTGGGGCAGGTGCTTTTAATTCCAAGAGGAGCTTTTCTGCCACACCTGCAGATGCAGAGCAAAGATGCAACAAGACTTTAGAAAACAGAAGATGGTATTTCTATTCACATTTTACTCATTGCTTTGTTAGAGTCCCCAAAATGGAGTATCTTGTGGTTTTTTGTAAGCAGAAAAACAAAACAAACATTCAAAAACAAAAACCTGCCTAATTAGTATTTGGGGCCTTTATATCCCATAGCCTGATAAACAGCATCCTCACTATGTTTCCAGAACTTTCCTACTTTTAAGGTAGCTCCCCTTCATTAGCTGTGCAGCCCTTTCCTCCTGATTAGGAATTTTACTGTCGTGGAGGCCAGTCCCTACCTTGGCTAAACTGGCACTTGGGAAGACCCTAGGGGTGCAGAGTAGGGTGGCAGGCATCTTTAGTCTTCTCCAATTGGCATGCTGGCATGGATTACGCAACTTTGGAAGTCACTGATAGATGGGTCCTAAGACTGTGAATTTCAGGATGGGGAGAGATAAGAAGCAGTAACCTTTGAGCAGTCATGAGGCATTTAGTCCTGGCATAGGAGCAAGATGGACAGCCACATGAAGATCCCTGAAGCCAAGCGAGTAGAAGAGCACAGGGTGGTCACTGGGGGCGTGGCGGGGAGAGAGGTGCTGGGTGCCTAAGACAGACTTGTGTGCTTGCATTTTCACTGGTGTTGGCTCTGTAAATACTTCATGGTGCAGTCCATGATGGGCCAGTCACTCCACCTCAAGTGTCCCTGTTGTATTGTTTGTAGAACCTGTATCATACTTGGAGGTGCTTCAAGGCTGGCAGGGTTTTGGTCAGGTGATCAGCATTTCATGTTCTTGAAATCAAAACCAGGCAAAAATATGTGTTACGTTTTGTTCTAGAAAAAGGCATACAATGAGACGAAGTGATCTTGTTAAGATAATGCACATACAAAATCATCAATAAAGTTTCCAAGAGTTTATGGAGGGTATTTTCCTCTATTGTTTGAAAATACACATATAATACTGATCTGCATTCACCTTAGGGCCTATCCTCTTATGAATTTTCAGACTATGATTTGTGTTTTGATGGTTAAGCTCTAACATAATGCAAACAGCCCTAAATCTTTAAATATAGCGGTGCTAAATTATACCAGATAACTCAATATAGAAAGTGCTGATATGAATTAATACTTAGTAATAATACAAGAGCTCCTGCTAAATTATACATGTATATCACTGCCTGATTAGAGACCCCACTTTTGTTTTCTAATCCAGCACAAAAAAACTGTGATTCTACAACCAGTCTTTTTAAAGTGTAATAATGACCCAGCACCTTTGTTTTGTAAGGAAAATTGTTTTTTGTTTTTAAAAGCCACTGACTTACAAAAATGCTTAACAAAAGGTTTATTTAAAATAACTAAGCATGTACTCCTTTTTTAACTTGCTAGGAGACTTGCCCCTCCAAACTAACATCCCAAAAAGACTTCTTTCAGAAACTGTGTGTTCTACCAGTTTCTGTTGGCCACTCTGAGTCTGTGCTAGTGTTTTCCACATGGATCATCTTCAACAGGCAATGTCCATCTGCAGGTAGTGGAAGCCACCCCACGGGAGTGTTAATTGTAGCATGGTTTCACTTTTGGTCATCAGGTAATCATGTATATATTTAGATTCGCACCATTTTAACATTTCTCTGCTACTCTGCACTTCAGATTCTTAAGCTATTTTAAAAATTACTGAGTTTTGGCAAACACCAACAGAAATGTATATGGCAACTGCTTTCTTGAGTGTGATTTGTTTTACGGCTGTTCAAGTTATAAAACTGTTCTCACATTGTAAGTAAACAAAATCTTGCTGTTTTTAAAGGTCACTGTATCTTGAGATTCAAATTTCTGGCACAATTTTATTAGTATTCACTAATAAGATACCACAGTTTTATATGTTACTCTCATTGTAACATCAATAAAGTAACTTTCAATAAAAGATTTATGTTATTTTGATGCACGACTCCCTTTCTTTTCCTCCCAGCCAGTTTTCAGAAGCTTTGTGGGGGGCCTATTCAGGAGTTCTTTTCTGTTCCACATTGTTCCAGAAGGGACCATTAACAGTGACGAGAAATCTAAATCTGTTAGTGAAGTCTGAGTGCTCAATTTGTTGAAGTTTCCTCATCTGAGTGGCAAAAGTAGTTTCCTCCACTTACCCACTTGCCTCTCCTTATAAACTTTCTCCCTCACCCTAAGAAGGATCCATTTCCTATATCCTGCCCTATTGCTCAGGCAGCAGTGCTTAATTAATGAGCTCACTCATGCTGGATTCTAAAGCACTGAGTCTGGATGGGTTCAGGTTAGCTTCTTGAGTTGGAGTTCATGGCCTAAACAATATACCTGCCAGTCATTATTCTGGCATTTGCAGTTAGTTTCCTTGCCTTCAGCTCAAAAGTAGTTATAAGTAGTCAAGGTGCTGTTTTAATGTGAGAAAAATAGAAGGAAGTCACTGATGAAGGGTTTGTACATTTATTATGAGATTTAAAAGGCTTATAGTGATTACATATAGCTCCATTTCTTGTATTTATAGTATTTCAGGCATATAGTAATTAAATGAACATTGAAACAGTAATACACTCAAGTTGTGCCAAAGCAAAATCAAGTTCACAGATGGCAGAAGTTTTAGCTCATGTGACATCTCATGGACTGATGGTATCTACCCCTGGAACATGCTGAAGTACAGTCTGAACTCCAATTTGGCTCAGGTGAGAGCTTTAATTTAATAGGACTGTTGTGGTACAAATGTATGCCAGCTGTCCCCAGGAAGCACCAGGCCTCTGGCAGCCACATTCTTACAGAAGCGCATGAAATGTGTTGTAAGTACTTTATAAATCATGATTCTCTTGAAGCACAAGACTAAAGCACACGTCTCCAAGATAAAATTAAATCCCAAGTTGGAGTGATTTGAGGAACTTAATTCTTTAAATAACTGAAGTATTCAAGTTTGAGTTCACAGCTTTACCATGCTCCAACTAGATGCTTTAAAAAAAAAAACAAAACAGATCAGGAAACAGTTTTAAAGTAGCCAGTGAGGCTGCACTAGAAGTATACAATGAAACAGAACCCAGCATAAAATAGAAATAAGGCAACATGAGAGTCACTTGTAAGGCAGACTTTGGCTGTAATTAAAGGGGATGGATACGTCAAATTTGTCAAGGGGAAGGAAACTAACTGCAGGAACCCACTGAAGACTATGCTCCATGCTTTTGCAAAGAAACTGAAAGCAGAAGCGGAGGAGATAAGGAGGTTTGTTTCAAGGTCTCAATAATTAAAATGGAATTAACTGAATGATTTGAGAGGCATGGTTTTGTAATACTTCAGCACTTACCCAAAAGCAAATTCAGAACCATGATTGATGCAGCACACCTTGGGACTTATCAGAGCATTAGGATGGTTCAAATATGGCCCATAACCTTGGGTCAGCAAGGGCCTTCTTCCCTACCGCTTACCCTCATCCGGGAAATTACCATTTCCTTAAATTATGATTTCCACAGAGAATCCTAGTGAGTTGAAACCAAATAGCAGGTGCTGGGACTCTGAAGGTGAGCGCTCTGCATCCTGACCCTCTGAGCCCCTTGTGGCTCATTTCTGGACAGCCCAGGCTCAAGTAAAGCTTTGTGGCCTCACAGACAATAGGTATGAAACCTAGACTCACTGTGTAATATACAGCAGGCTGCTTCACATGATGATATATAACCTGGGCATAACTACATAATTATATGTTAGGGTTGAATAAATATTGAATGGATATATTTTAGCAATATTTGAAAAAATATATTAGTGAAATGAGGCTAAAAATGCTTGATGTTTTTTTTCATTGGTTGACAACTAATTGTTCACATGAATGGTAACTCACATTGTGTCCTAGAATAAGAAAGACATTCTACTAGCAAGGAGAAAACAGACTAACAGACTAATTTTATTATTTGTTAAACTCTTGCAAAAAACAAAAAAAAAAATCAAACAAGGCCAGTTTTGAAACATTTTTGGTGCTTGTCATATTGACACACTTTTTCAAATTCAGAAATACCCCAATAGGTAAGTAAATATTATCTCCTTTTCAAAGATGGGGACACTGAAACTCTTGTGGTTATCCACAATGACCAAACCATATAGTAAGAGGCACAGCCAGCATTAGAATCCAGATCTTACTGGAAAACCCATGGCTTAAACTTTTTAAAAAATTTTTCATTACAAATATAATACCTGCTTATGAAAGAATATTTGGAAAAACAGTAGGAAGGGAGAAAATGGACTCATGATCCTGACTCCCAGTGGTAGCTACATCAACATTTTGGTACACTCTTTCCAGTCTTCCTGATGTGTATATTTTTTAATTTGTGAACACATGGCATATGAAAATGTACAACATTTAAAAAATTAACATCTTTTACTTTTAAAAGGAAAACATACACATTAAAGAAAATTTGGAAAATACTGAAATATATAGAAGGCAATTAAAGTCACCTAGAATACCATTAGCCAGAAATAACCAAAGTTAATATTTTATATATTCCCTTCATCTTTTTCTTACTAATTTTATATAGTTAAGTTTATAATGTACAAAATTTTTTAGTTAACAAATATTTAAATGGATGATGACAAAGAGGGCCTTGGTGACAGTATCTGCCATTCAAATTATTCAACAGATTTTTAAAGAGGCAGAAAATAATCATTCGCATTCCTTTGTTCATTCATAAGGCCATTTAAATACCTGTAAGTCTTAGAGCCTGTGCTAAATTTCTACTAAGGTAAAGCCTGACAGAGATTACCATTTTTTTCCATCCAAGTGAGTCTAAATCATTTATATAAGAATACTTTACACATAAAACTTTCAATACCACATTAAAGTCCCTCCAAGAGAGGGAAGATAACAGCTGTAGTCTGATTAAAAGTTTCTATTAGTATCTCACAGTGAAAAACGTGCCTTAAACATTCTGCATACTTAAATTTACATAAAATAGGTTTAGCAAGAAAATGAGGCATGATTGATTGATCATGGCTCAAGGAAGTTCTAAATGGTGTAAAAAACCACTGATCTTATGTTATTAAAGTTTCAAAGAATTTATTATCAAAACTAACAACAAAACTTCAGTTGTACATAAAGTAATAAACCTTTACACTAGCAGTTAAGGGAAAGTGGCAATGCAAGTTTACACACATTACTGAAGGCAAAGAGTAAGGGCGAAGGAGAACTCCAGTTGGAATGTTTGTTATATTCACGCAGCTTCTTGATTTAAACACTCATGACACATTGAATGAACTGAAAGAGAGAAAAGTCAGTGTTATTCTACTGACCTCAAAACACTTAGTACACCATAGCCTATCTTTAGGCAGCTTATGTTTTGATTTTCAAATTTGAATTGTGGGTAAGAATCACACAATTTTCTAAGGTATGAGTAAATGATAGATGGGAAGTTTCTTTTAGGGAAGGAGTCTAATATAAAATCCAATGGGATTCTCACATCAAAACTTACAGGAAGCAGATATTAGCTCCAATGGATAAAGAATTATTTAAATTCCAAATAATATCTAAGACTCTGGAAATGGTTGTGGTTAAAGGTACCCCAAAAGACAATTAACTGGAGTTTATATGGTTGTATCACATGAGGACTTCCAAACTGTACAGTATTACTTGACTACTCTAATGAAGCACCTTTAAACACTTCTCTTAAAATCTGCTTTATTAAATTAAATCCTGCCATGCAAATATATATATGCACAGAAACAGAACAGCTGACCAGTCACTGGCAACTCAGAAACCTGAGTTTAGAAGCATTGGTATTTGCAATGTTAGCTTCCCCACTAAACACGCAGCAATAGAGTCTGCTCTTTGTATCAGTTTTTTTTTCCACTTCCCCAACACTAAGTTTTTTTTTTTTTTTTTGAGACAGAGTCTTGCTTTGTTGCCTGGGCTAGAGTGAGTGCTGTGGCATGTCAGCCTAGGCTCAAGTGAGCCTCCTGCCTCAGCCTCCCAAGTAGCTGGGACTACAGGCGCAAGCCACCACGCCCAGCTAATTTTTTGTTTCTATTTTTAGTGGACTGGCTAATTTTTTTTTTTTCTATTTTTAGGAGAGACAGGGTCTTGCTCTTGCTCAGGCAGGTCTTGAACTCCTGACCTCAAGCGATCCTCCTGCCATGGCCTCCCAGAGTGCTAGGATTACAGGCGTGAGCCACTGCGCCTGGCCACTCATAAGATTGTTAAGGTACTGCTAATCCTTGCAGCTCTTCCACAAGGCCAAGGTGATTATCCCTATTTTAGAGAAAAGGACACTAAGGATCAGGATGTTTAGAAATCTTTTAAGTGGCTCCATGTGAGGCTGAAGCCCATGCTCTTTCTATTCCCCAGGCAGCCTCTCCATCTCTGGAAACAGTGACGGGACTGTCAACTGAGAAGTAACAGTAAAGAGATCACACCCTTAAGCAGAAGAAATAAGCATATTCACACACACACTAAGCCTTTTTAAAGTGTACTTAAAATTGCAGCAGCTGCTAAACCGAAAATATGTGCATCTTAATATTTTGCGATGGAAAAAAATTTTAGAATACTCAGTGATTATAGTGATTTCGATTCTAAAAGTTACTTTTTAAAATCAATGACTAAGCAAAAACTGACCAAATGACTAACTCTCTCCCTACCTTTGTTATGTACGTCCAACTAATGCCATTGAAGATGGCACTTGGTTATGTGCATACTGGCTATTTGGCTTTAACCTACCATATTTAGCATGGCTGTTTAGTACGTACCTTGTTTTAAATTGGGATTTAAGTTGGTACCTGCCTTACATTATCAATGAAGAACGCAGCTGTACACAGTACAGCTTTGAGCTGTTAAAACTGCTTCTCAATGATTGAGATGGTTTGTTTATAGAAGGCAAAAGCAGACACAATATCTGTATAGTGTTTTCCAGGGATATTTCTGATAGAAATCTTATATCAGCCCAGTGAGGAAGATATTATTACTATATCCTCTTTATTCAAACAGAGCAGTTAAGAAACCTGCTTAAGTAACCCAGCTAATAAATGTAACAAGCTGGGTCTTGAACCGAGGTCTCTGAATACAAATCGAATAGTGGTATAACTATGCATAAGATTAATGAATGAAATTAACAAATTTTGGATGATAAGTCCTTCTGATCATTTAATCCCTGATTTCTCTGGCATCTCTTAGATATTCTTAACAGCTAACTTCAAAAGGAATGCCCATCTTGTGTACATATTATCCATCTACTTAGCTCTTAATTTACCGAGACTTACATCATCATACGGGAAATTCACAACACCTTGCTGAGCAGTATCCCGTCTTCGAAAGCTGTCTGTAAAACAATACAGAAAAATGTATGTTTTTTTTCTTTAAATAGCTTTTCTAAAATCACTAAAGTTAATTATTTTGGCATTGGTTTCAAATTGCAGTAACATTTAAATTGTATAACTAGTCAATATAAACAAAAGACCAAAACAAAGAAGCCAATTATATAAATACTGAAAGATTTAACACACAACGAAGTAATATAATAGGCAGAAGTTGACCAGCTATCTTTTACAATGTGGAGCTGGAAGAAAATACCTTATCCCAAAGTCAGTAAAAGCTGTGCAACTTCTGAGGCCATTACTTGTGATGAAAACATGGAATTTCAAACTTCTTAATAACACAGATATTGCTTAATTAGGAGACAGATGGATAGTGTCCCTAATAGGACAAGTGGGCTGTGATCAAATATCCTACCCATTTTAGCTATGACCTACTGAAAAGGATTTACTTTAATTTCACTCTTTTCAAATATTTCACATTCTAGGGAGAAATCTCTCATAATCTGACCAAAGTGTACAAAATTACCTGGTTATGTTTTAGAACATTTTCGCAAAATTTAGTTAAGCTTATTTTAATGGCAGATTAATAACTAATCTAAAATTCTGAAAAAACAAAACTATTCTGCTAGCTATGCTTAACAGTAATGTTAAAAATCTACTAAAGCAAGAAAAAAATTGAATGGAAAGAATAAAAGTTCAGAAGTACTGAAAAATGAAATGGGTGTCATAAAAACTGTCCTCTTGGCTTGTGGTGATGACATGATCTCACAGAACACACCTGTGAGAGCCCTCAGTTTGACGCAGCAGGCAATGTAGTCATCGAAGGTAATCTTTCCATTGGTGCTGTATCGTTTTGCAATTGAATTCACAGCCTGGGGACTCAACCTAAATCCTGAAAAGAAAAAAAAATCATCCAGTAAAACAGTTAAAGGATTGCAAACAAAAACAAAAAACATACCATTAAAAAGAATCAAACGCAATTTTTTAAGACTGTGAACTAATTTCTATAAACACATACAACTTAACTTCTAAGAAAACAGAAACTGCCTTCAAGTAGCATTTACTTTTAGAAGTAAAAAACTGACGTCTACCAATGAATGGAGAGTTCTAGTTAGCCATACCCACCCATTGTTGTCAGGGCCTTCTGCAGTTCTTGAGGATCCACCGTTCCACTCCTATCGCTGTCAAAACTGATGAAGTGTTGTCTCCAGCCATTCAGTACAGACCAGAGTTCTTTAAATTCATTGAAACCCATTGTGCCAGACATATCTCTCTAAACGAGAATCAAGGATCAGAGCTTCTTTATTTGGAACATTTTCTAATGATTAAGCGAAAGATCAAGGATAAGGGGAATTTAATGTTCTTTATGGTCAAAAAGTAGTTATTGTATATTCTTTGTATGATATAATAAAAAGAGCAACGATAAAAAATAATAAAAAGAAGCTATGGAGAAAAAGCTCTGAGTACTCATTTTTACTGTGAATAAAAGATAACCTATGTGATCTGATTACAAGGAAATAACATCACCATTGGGAGCCACCTGTAAAAAGCAGTCTGGTTACTGGAACTGGGCTGCACTTTCTGGGTGCCCCAGGCTATGCTGTTTACCCTGCTATCCTAGGGTCATCTTTGGCACTAACATTGTCTTGTTTAGTCCTCCAAGACCCAAGGATTTCACTTTTGGAGAAAGAGATGGGATGGAATACACCACAGGGTCAGCACTAGCTAAACTAAGTCCAATAAGTGGGAAGTGAAAAAGCCCATCACTTGAAGGTCAGGTGTGAGTCATGCAGAGCAATCACTGTTAAAGAAAAAGCTTCCCAGACACCCTGGTTTCTATATTCGTTCTACTTTGATGCTTCCTTGAATTCCTGAACAACTAACATTCCATTTACTAAACTTCCTTTTTTCACACCAAATTCATTCTAAAAGCTAATTATTTCAGAAAGCTTTTTAATGGTCATTTTGTGTTTACCGGGTATTACTTCTGAGATTAATCCCTTCAGGAAATTTTTTGTCAAGAAAAAAACATTCTGCACAACAATCTTGATAAAGGATACATCCAGCATTGAAACCATAAGCCGACAAGTCTCCAGGTTAAAAGCTGTTAAATTAAGAAAAGTACATACATATTAATTTCAAAAATTCACATTACATTTGATACATTCAAATTAATTAGAAATGTGATTATTTATACACTTTTATTTTTATATACTACTCAATATACATGTGACTACATTATATGGAGCTTCCAAGTAGATTTTTTCCAGATTCTTAAAGAGGATTCTTTCTAGAATCCAAATTTGATTTTGACATAGAAATCTTTAATTCACCATAATTATATTCACCATGGTGGATGGGAAAGTAGGGTTGCTTTGTTTCTACTCATAAATGACTATAAATAGCTGGTTTTGCTAATTTTGTACCAATCACTTGTTTTTCTGTCTTTTCCCTTTAATGTCAGGCACTGAGCAGTGACCTCCTACTCAAATAGTCTCCTCTTCACTTATATATGAAACCAGACAAATATGCTTGTTAGAATTGTGTGTTAATTAAGAGTACTCTGGAGTGAGACCCAATGACCAATTCAGTGGTGGCCATTATTCAGAAGCCTTTTTCATTTACCTATAGTTTGGGAGCATTCTGAGAGCATCTGTGTACCTCACTTTTGCAACTAAACCAGAACACATGCAATGGTTATAGCCTACTGGTTGTCTAAGCATTAAGAAATTAAAAATAAAGATCCCCCTGTATCTTACATTGTAATAATGCAAATCAATGACTTTGAAGAAATATTGCATAGGTACAAAGAAGCTAGAAGGCAGACATGACAAGGGTCATGTGGGAAAAGCTATTAATAGTATAAATTCTGTAAGATGCACACAGAACATTTTTTACAGCTCTTTCTAGCTTCCTATTGTTTCTCTAATGAAAGTGAAATTAAAACACAGCTGAGCTAGCTAATTACTGTAATGTCTCCAAACAGTGCAAACTATAGGGTTTCCATATTTAATCTGTTAAAAGATTCCCGTGTTTGGCATATCCTTTACCAGAAATAAAAGACTGGGGACTATTTCTAATTTGGTCCTTCAATCTCCATTTGATCCACAGATAATATTTTCTGAGGTGAGAGGAGGAGGCAATACTTTTCTACACTTTTGGTAAAGAGCTGGTCCCTTCTTCCTTAAGTTGTGTGGAGGTATGAAGTCCCTCTAACCTAGACCAGTGGTTCTCAACCCTGGTGCTTATCAGGATCACCTGGAAGCTTTAAAAGGTCCTGACACAGGGCTGCACCACAGAACAATTAAATCAGCATCTCTGAGTGTGGGACCCAGGTACTGGTATTTTCAAAAAGCTTTTCAGATGATTCCAATGAGCAGCCAAGGTTGAGAACACCATTCTACTCAAAGTGTGATTCCTGGACCGGCCATATCAGAATCACCTGGGCACCTTGAGAACTGAAGAATCTCAGCCCTTAATCTACACTAATAAAGTCAGAATTTGAATGTTAACAAGATCCCTTTAAAGTGACATATATTCACTTTAAAGCAGCTGGTTCAAGCATCTGGACCAGCATCACACGGAAATTTGTTAGATGTGAAATTCTCAGGTCTCACCCCAGACCTCTTAAATGAGAAACTCTAGGGAGGGTCCCAGCAATCTGGTTTTTGGAAGCTTTCCAGGTGATGCTGATGCTGCTTAAGTTTTAAGAACCACTCTCAAGAAGGCTTGACAATCACAGGACAGAGCCGATTATTTGGCTCACATCAAGCTTTTTGAGGGGCCGTGAGGCAGACAGCTTCAATGTCTCCCAGTTTTATGAATGCTACCACCATCCATTCAATAGTCACCCAAGCCAGAAACCTGGAAGCGTCCTCAATTCCCTTTTCTCCATAATCAAATCACCCTCTAAACAGCCCCACTGTCCTGGTTTAGTTAGCATTTCTCTCACCTGTATGACTCCAACAGCTCCCAGTGGGTATCCCCAACTCCCGTGTCCCCAATTTAGTCTTTGCCCTACAGCCAGGGGTGGTATGTGCTGTCCTATGTAAAACCAATTGTCAGTGTTATGTCCTCAGGATAAAGTCAAACACCTTGACTGGCATAAGGCCATATACTTACTTTCCCATCCAGCTAGTCTCTTATTCATTCAACTGCCTATACTATCTTCACGGGAATTTCTCAGTTCCTTGGCTGAACCATGCTCTCTCTGGGTCTTTTGTACGTGTGCTGTTCTATCTGCTTGGAACAAAACTTCCCCATCCCACTCACTTCTTGGTTGGCCTCATTTCTGCTCTACTTTCACTTCTTCTCAGTTTAGGTATCAATTCTGCAAGGAAAACTTTCCTGATTCCTGTCTGGGTTATGTGCCCATCCTATGTGGTCCCACAGCTTCGATCCTTGCTTGTATGAGTGCTTTTTACAATGCCCCACGGGCATTGTTTGTGGCTGCACACCCAGACCTGGCACATGGACGGTGTCCATTAAAAACTTGTTGGCTGGACAAATGAATGTGCTGATAAGACTGAATTCTCATTGCTCTGCAGGAAGCCGTATATCCCTGGATTTTATATGTATACCCCTCTCAGTCTAAGGAGGAATGTTTTTTGAATAAAATTTTCTGATTTTTACTGATACTTAAAAGTAATCTATAATTTCAAATCAAAATACCAATAAGGGTATAGGGCAATGATTTTTGCATTTTAGAAAATTTGCCGTACCCATTAACTCAACAGCCACCCATTAAGTACTCACTAGGGACAGCGCTCCGGGTTCTAAGAACTTTGGAGACATAAATGTGAAATTGGATACTGCCCTGCTGACAGTCTAGGGAAAAGGTAAGTCATATACACCATACAACTCTAATGAAGGCAGAGAGCAGTAAATCATAACGGCGGTACCAGAAAGGACCAGGAGGTTTTGGGGAGTGAGAGGTTCCTCCTGGTAATCAGGAAATCCATAAAAAGAAGCTAAGATTTCAGGAAGGTAAGAAATCAGGAAGATTTCATAAAAGAGGTATCATTTAAGCCAAGCCTTGAATGACAAAAATGACTGGGAGGGGACATTTGGTGACAGCTAAGGACCAATGTAAGAGAGAAGCAGAAGGTCCAGGGCAGGCAAAGAGTACGCGAACAGCTCAATGTGACCTGAAGAGAGCATAAAGGAAGTGGGAGGAAACGTGGTTGGTTAGGCCAGGCTGCAAGGATCTTGAATTCCTTCTAAGCTGTTAGCCTTTCTTTTATGGGCACCAAGTAAAGACTGTTGGGAGGAGGAGAGTGACAGGTTAGAGCTGTGTGTCAGGAAGATCAAAATATGGTCACCTTTTTAAGAAGGATCTGAAAGGGAGAGAAGACAATGGACAGTGAACAAAAGGGAACAATTTATCATTCCAGACAGTTCTAATGAACTAGAACACACGTGCCCAATAAGTTTGGATGAGGAAACCTCCTGCTCAGTTTTGTTAATTGTATTCCCCCCAAATAGCTTTTATTAGTCCTATTTCTATTTTAAATAATTTCAGAAGAATCTTTGCTGTAATTTTACTTTTACTCTTTCTCCTCCCTAGTGTTCATTCTACTAGAATGCCTCAAACATCTTTTCTTCTAGTAGAAACGTAATAGGCCTAGCGGGAAAGCCCTACCTCTAGCTGTTTCTCTCAACCTTACCACAGCGGAACAAGTAAATTCAAGAGAAGAAGAGAAGCTGAATTCCTATCCTGTAGACTACAGCAACTTCTCTCACAAACTCTACCTCTAGGTGTGACTGCTTCCTTTTAAACAGGTTAAGAAGGGACCTGTAGGTCCTAGGCTGGAGTAACCCACCCACCCACTTTGGATCTGTGCTTTTTGGTTTGTAAGCTGGGACCAGATTTAAAAGACTAATGGCTGTATAATTTCTGTATTACAAAACTCTGGCACCTCACAAGAAGGGTGGTTCTGTGGTTCATTACAGTCACTAGAAAAGATTAAGCAAGTCAACCCAATTGCATGGTCCACATGACTCAGAGGAAGTGTCTTCTCTTTAATGCATCCATCTAAGGCCATCACTAAAGCGGCTTTCTCAAATAAAAGCTTTAAAAGGACTGTTCTCTAAGAATATGCAACCCACTTTGTTAGTCAGGTTTTAAAATCTACCACACCTCTTCTACTGAAAGGCTGCAGAATAATAGTCTATGTTATGGCCTCACCTCATTTTGGCAAACCCTACTACTAAAACTGTGTCGTTCACCATCTCAACTGCTTGAGATTAACAATTAACAATTTAAATGTGCTGCGTACAACAGTAAAAAAATAATCCCTGGTCCAGAAATGTTTCTTTTGTTTAGGACCAGATTAAATGACAAAAACTCAAAAGTTTCTTCTTTTGTATTAATTCATCCAATTAGGAAACAGTAATAGGATATTGAAGTCACACAAAACAAAGGATGATAAAAATAGAAACACAAATAGTTCAAAGACAGCCATCCAGTAAATACGTCAATGTCAGTCAAAAAATGCCACTATAATTCCTTAGTTGTGAATTCTAGTTTGAGCATTTGAACACTTAGCTTACCAAGAAATTGGGGCTTTGATGTGATGTTCTGTCCCAAAACAACTGGCAAAGTAGTTGGCAGGTAACACACTATTCTCTACCCTTGAATTCTGTCATGGTCAAGATCTGATTTGAAGAGAAAGCGTGTGGTGTGCATGGGGGGATGCAGCACCTTTGCACTACCTGCAGCTCATGGCAGAGAGCTCAAAAGGCAGGTGGGCAGGGAGCGGGGGTGCATAAATGCTGAGTTATAGGGCATCAAGTCTAGCCTGCCAGGAACTGAGAAAGCAGAGGAGAACTACTAGTGTAAGGAATTTCAGAAAGTAGAAAGTGTACTTCCTACTTATCCTGAACACATTCTCTGAAATGGTAAGAGGAAAGAAAGAGGGAAGACCTGGGAAATGTCATGACAAGCATTCAGGTTGCTGGTAGTACACCCAGGGCTCCAAGGACCAGGAGTGCAGGAATGGCCACTCAAAGCACTAAGTGCCACCAGGTCCAGGGCAGGGTAAGCTCTTGGCAAATAGCAGTAAATGTAGCTATCATTAATGACACCTGACCTGGCAGATTTCATTTCAGCACTTTACTTGTCCTCTGTGAAGGAGGCCACCCAAACTCTCACTGGTTCAAATACTTCCAGATACATAAAATCCAAATCCAAGAAATCCACTAAGCTGGCAGGTAGAGTGGAATGATTTATATTAAGAACTGTTTTCAAATCAACATTTGGAGATAATAACTTAAATTAGCTTTTGAAATTTTAGATTTTGCTGGGTCAGAAAAGCTGTTTCCTTGAAGGCTATAATCACAAGTTAACAGCTAAAATATGAAATACAGAGTACTTTTAGAGAAACTGTGGAACTGTCAACTTACGTTTGTATCCACCTGCAATGCCAGACTGTGTCAGACATCTCTGCAGTTCATCAGCATCTATTTGCCCATCCTTTTGAAAAAAATAGGAAGATGAATCACAATAGCGATTTGTACTTTTGTTTATCTCTCATATTCAATGCGCAATAGTAACAAAGAAAATGAGTATCATGCACGAGACTTTTTTTAAAGAATGCTTTCCAAAAGTGGGCATTCTTTTCCTCATTCTACTTCCAAAAATAATTTAATGATGAAAGAGTCCGTTTTGTCAACTACTCTTCTCTTAGTCTGAGCTAGGAAACTGCCAAAGCTAAGCATTTTAAATTACTTATGGAGTTGCTTAAAAATCATATTCCTGTTTTTTTTTTTTTTTTTTTTTGAGAGGGAGAAAGAGAGTAGGTACACAGTAGACATCAGTAAATAGAAGGCTTGGTTCAAGCAGAAAGGGGCCTCCTTGGTCAACATTTCTTATGATATGGTCAATTATTTTTTTTCAGAGCACAATTATATCTGGAAGATACAGGTTGGGTTCTCAATGCCCATTCATTGGCTAAACTAGGTAAGAACTAGATACATGCTATTTTTAAGGATTTTAAAATATCTATAACTAATAATAAAAGGAAAAATATACCTATAAAATATTAAATAAATTATAAAAATTTCAGACTATTGTCTGACCACAACACAGTCAAGTTACAACTTAAACAGCATAGCCTTTAAAAACCCTGATTTCTGGAAACTTAGTGAATGGTAATATGACTTCCTGAGGCTAGAGAAGAAGCAGGCAGGATGAAATTCAAAAATTTTAGTTTTGATAGTATAACAGAAACCTCTTGAATAAGCAGTATGGGTATCATTTAGGCATATTAATGGGAAAGGTAATGTCTTCTGTTTACCAGGCTTTATAACTGTACTATTTTTCCTTCCTTTTACTAAATCTGAATGTATTTTTGTATCTTCTTTCGCATATTATGTTTTAAGATTCACTATATTGTTATGACTAGCGATAATGTATTCATTTTTTGAGGCTGTATGACATTTGAATACATTTATCAGAATGTATCTATTAAAAAATAAAAAATAAAACAAATACCTAAATATTCATATTGATGGGTATTATAAGTTATAAATGAGAAGCAGAATCAATAATTTGAAAGACAATGGGTATGCTGAATACAGGCCAGGGCTGCTGAAAGCTAAGTAGGTGGGGTCACTTACACACTGGAGGCACAGCAATCTAAGAATGTTAGTCTTGAGGTTTGCCATGCCTTGTGGTTTCAAAGATACAGATCATTAATAGATTAAGCAGATACTTAAGAGGAAAGTCTTCCAGTTTTAGACACAATTTTCCATTCAATTTCTCAAGCTGTTATTTCTTAGAGTGCTACTTTAAAAGGTGGTCTGAGGTTTTTATTCCATAATATTCTAAAGAGTTTTCACATTAAGATTTTGCTATTTCTAGCTTTTGATCAAAACAAGACTAAGTTGAATTCAAAAGAATAACCATCCCCTTTTGACATGTCTGGGTCATACCAACAGTATGTTTACTATACACAGAGACCTCGTAAGCTAGGGAAGTGTCTGTCCTCCCTCAAGGTAAGTGAGCACCTGTCATTCAACTCAGAATGTAGAGAAGAAGAAGGGCTTGGGGAGCTGGTCTTAATTCTTTCTCTGGGTCAACAGGCCACAACACCTAACATGGACACGGAAGAGCAGATCTAGTAACAGCATCTGAGAAACTAAATTGTTCACAACAGCAAAGAGAAACTAAATTGTTCACAAGATTAACTTCCTTATGCCAAGAAGAGAACAGTAACTTGCTTATTTAGAAGCCGGTGGGTTTTTACCATACGTACCTGTTTCCTAGGGGGAGTAAATGATTAACAATTAAATTCAACCTGTAGAAAGTGTCCATCAGAATCTGGATACATAATTACTGGTACATGTCTTTAAGTTGTACAAACAGAGGTTTATGTTCACCGGATCTTGACTTTCTTCTCTTGAAAACCACCCTAGCCCTGACAATTCAGTTACAAAAACATCTTTCTACTTTACAGATCTTTAAAGTAAATTTATAATCCCCTATTCTGTTCAATCTAACCCTAATTCAATCACGTTTAGTTTTGAACCGAACTAACACAAGTAACACTCTGTCCTAATTTGTTCTGAATATTCAAAAAATAAAAACTAAAATAATAAAGAACTTTCCTTCTTTCTCTTTTTCTTTTGCAGAAACGGACTCTTTTCCGTTTTTCTGTGTCACTGTAACAAAAGCTAACACGAATGCAGAATATGACAATTCTTTAATATTAAAGGAAAAGCTAACCTGTCCAGCCACAGCTGCAAAGTAACCATATAGCGGATCCTGGGTTTGTCCGGGAAATGCTGGCCCTCCAGGGGCCCCTCCATACTGCGAAAAAGGAAACACAAACGCATCAATCCGCTGATTCCAGTTTTATTCTTTCACCACAGAGGGCTTTTGTGAAAAGCCAGGCAACTGACCAACCGCCTGGCCACCCTTCCAAGGTTTACCTCCCCACCACCGGGCACTTTCCAACTGCAATCACCCCACGCCTTTCTTCCCTTCTCACTCTGTACTTTAAAAACTGGCTACTTGGACCAAAAATAGTAGTCAAGAAAGTGAAATCTGCACAGGTGAAGCAACTTTTAAAACCCCTGTTAACCTGCAGATTACTGAGGTGAAAAGCAACCTAGGCAAGCAACTTATGGGCAGGGCTCAGAAATGCTTTCCTTTTGTTTTTACAGCTTTTATGGTATTTTAAAAGCGTTTTAAGTACCACGGAAGGCAGGAGTTGGCAAAATACTGAGACAGGTGTAGCCTAGGAAACAGTAAGGCGTCTTGGCCAGCTGTATCTCGTGGGTGGCGACGGAACATCCTGGGAAACAGTTCCCACGACAACGCGCATCCCAGAAGCCCGGCGAGGCGGCCTTCCTACAGGACTTTCACTCTGGCGGACTTTCCCCAGCCTCTTTCCCTCAATTTTTTTTTTTTTTAAGGGAGGTAGGTAGATCACTGAACCATTCTAGAATAAAATAACTGTTGTTGCTTTGGGGGGAAAACGGGAGGGAGGGGGAGGACGCCAACACCCAATTAGCACTATTTCGCGTCGCGTATCCGAGAGCCACAGGGTGGGCTTCCCGGGTCCCAATCTACCCGCGCTTGGCCCCGCGGACTACCCGTAGGGGAGAAAGGACGGAGGGAGACGAGGCAAGAGGCGGAAGCGCAGGGCCTAGGGCGAAGCGGCGAGCAAGCAAGGAGGAGCCGGGGGCGGGAGGCGCCCAGGAGCCGCGCAGCGGCGCCTCAACCCCGCTAGCCGCTGCATCTCCGAAGGTACCTCTCCGTGCCCCGAGAACCGCCGGGCCGCGAGCCCGCGCGGGCAGCACTTACCCCGCCTGGGTAGTACCCGCCGCCCGCGCCAGGGTACGACATGGTGCAGTCTACACCGCCGCCGCCGCCCTCGCCCTGCGCGCCCAGCCTCCCGGCCCCGCGCCCCGCCCCGCCGCGCCGCGTGGGGGCCGCCCCCGAGCGCTCCACGCGGGCCGGCGGGGGACGCGCCCTGCCGCCGCCTCCCCCTTGGGGTTCAGCTCGCGCCCGCGGCTGCCCTACCCATGTACTTCCGTGTCTTTGCCTGTTCTATGCCCAGGCCGGGTGTCAGGGAAGGTCCGGTGGTGACCTGTGACCGGCGACGCAGTTCACACCAGGGACTTTCCTCCCTTCGAAACCAATGGCACATTCCAACACCGATACAGCGCCCCGGGAATTCGTTTTTTCCTTTCTCTTTGGCTATTTTCTGGTACATTTATTATTTATACAACTTTATTGGGCAGGGCGGACCCGCCATGAGCAAAGTGCAGTATTGCAGAGAAGGGGCTGAATGCGTTAGAGCAAGTCTTAGATGCCAGTGGGTGAAGGAGACATTGAAAGACAAAAATAGGAAAGCGCCCTTGGAAAACAGGAATAAACTTGAGGAACTGTGTGCAAGGGGGAGTTTGTCTTGTGGTTGGTGGCACATTTCATTGAAAGATAAGGGCGTATTTCCTGGCCAGGAGACAATTCATCGCCTGATTAATCTGGGCGTAGCTCAGATGCGGCCTGCGTGGGACAGAGGGCATTTTCTGGGCAGGACAGCCTCGCCCACATCGTTCTTTGGAAAATGAATTGTTTGAATTATCTGGATGATTCATGCAAAAACAATCTTTTTCCCCAAGATTATTCAGCTGCTTTTTATACAAGGCAAGTTTAGAGCACACTGTGTGTGCTGGTAAATATTCAGGAAGGTGAGAGAGATCGGAACTTAGATTACTCAGAAAATGTTTTTCTTTACTTCAGACGTCTGTCTTTTTCATCCAGTTGAACAATTTGAAGCAATTCAGGTGCTTGGTTTTGTGTAATTTTTTTTTTTTTTTAAGGCAAGGATGAAACGAAGTTTATTGAGGAAGGACAAGATAGGTTTACAGAGCAAGAGCAAAACACGTTCACTACAGAATGACGAACAGACCCCTTCATAACAGAAGGGGCCGGTTTTGTGTAATTTCAACCACACAAAAAATTTGCTTGCTCGCCCTTGACTGTTAAGGAGTAGACTTAATGATTTCCTGAATTTTAACGTTTGAGAAATGTATTAATAAGTAAGATTCACAGTGTTTGCTGTAGAGGTTGCTCAGAAACATTGAAAGAGTCATCAGCATTTAAGAAATATTGGAGCACCTGCCAATGTGTTGCTGTACTTGTTCGTTATCCAGAAAGGGCCCCTCCGTGTTCCAAGTTCCTGGGTTACGTGGTTTATTGTTTTCCTCTTATGTGTAATTTCCCTCTCAAGTCCTCTTTTTGGATACCCAGACTCCAGAAATGAAAGTCCTAAATTGTGAGAAAGATTCTTATAGTTCCTGTTGTCTCACAGCAGAGAAAACTTATGTGTTGCCTGTTTTGTGTTTGATTCAGAAAGTAGGTTACTGTTTTCAAATGCTGTAACACTCATCAAGGTAGGTTAGACATTCTGAGTCCCTTAGCCTCTGTTTTGAAGCCTGTTTCTTCAGAAAGAGGTAACCAACTATAAGAACAGATGGTGAGGGGTAACCTCAAAGTGGAGCACAATCTCAAGACTCAAGTTTGAAAGAAACATATAGCATATAAAATATTTTTAAGTAATACGGAAGTAGCTTTGTGGATAAATGACTATGCTAATTGTCGTTTCTCTTTAAACATCTTTCTACTGCTCTACTGCTAAAGAATTCAATTTTAATGGAGTCCTGCAAATGAAATTCTGACAATTATTGGTAACAAATTGGTCAGCTGCTACTGCTTTAGTTTATGAAAAAAAATCCTGGCAAATAATAATAACAAACATATATAGTACTTAATATATGCCAGATCCTCATTTAAGCATTTTATGTATTTGCTTAATCTTCATAAAACCCCACGAGATAGGTTCTATTATCATCCTCATTAAACAGTTGAAGAACAGAGGATCTCAGAGAATTTGCCAAACTGGAAGGAACACAGAGCTGAGATACATTGCCAAGCCATCTGTGCTGTATACCAGGGGCCAGAAAACTTTGTAAAAGGCCAAATATTAATAGTAAATATAATATTTTAGGCCTGTGGGCCATATAGTCTCTATAGCAACTACTCAACTCAGCTATTGTAACCCGTAAGTATCCACAGACAATAAATGAATGGGTGTGGCTGGGTTCCTCATTTGACTTTCATATAATTTTCATATGACATGAAATATTATTCTTTATTTTTCCAAACATTTAAAATTGTAAATATTATTCTTAGCTCCTGGATGTACAAAAACAGTAGGTGGGCTAGATTCGGCCATTGGGCAGTAGTTTGCCAACCACTGCTGGAAACCCTTCCAGGATGCAGGCTTATGACTCTGGGAGTTTAGTGCTTTAGCAAATGATTTGCTGGCTTTAAGGTAAAGCCTATGGGTAGAATACTGTTATTTGTCCTAACAGTTTACTAAGTTCTAGAGAAAGACTGCAGGAGTGACACAGCCATGCCGCTATGATTGAGGGTTGTGGCAGCAGCGTGGGTTAGGGAGAAAGCTATACCAGGGTTATAGATAGGATGTGGGTCGGAGTTATTTTGGGAAGTCATTGGAATCACAGAAACCTTTATGATCATCTACTCTAATCATGCTCTTTTACAGATGAAGAAACCAAGACTGGGAGAAGGCCTAAGCTCCTGAAGGGCAAACCTAGCTAGAATATAAATATTTCACCCTTCCCAGTTAAAGCTGTGACATTATCTGAATATGCCTCTCAGAGAGAATCCCATTGTTTTGTGGTACACCCTCCTGAGTCCATCTCTATTTTCAAGACAGGCAGTGTGGACACTCTTTCTTGTCCCTGGAGAAAAATTAATACAAAGCACTACATATTGTATCGTATCCAGGCAGAACTTCCTTACTCAGATAAGTGGTAAAAGAAATAGTGTAACTAACTGCAGTTATTTCACCATGTCCTGCAGTTGAATTAATGAGAAGTCTTCATGTTTTAGGAAGAAATTAGCAATAATATTTGCCAGATGAAGGTTTCAACTTTCTTTTAGTTCCGATCTCGGTGTTGCACCTCATAATTTAAATACCTCTGCCTTAGAGAGATGCTCATATCTCAAAATATGAGTGGAAATGGGTTTGATAACCACATAGGTTACCAGTATATACTATCTCTATTTTCTTAAGATTTTTGGGAAGGAGTGTGAAGACTAGGATCTTCATTTGGGAATAAAAGACACCCTTTTTCTCTATCTGTCCAGAGTAAGAGTTCAGTTAATCATACTATTATGAAATCATTTTAAAAGGATAATAAAAAACTTCCATTATTTTCTTTTTTTTCTTTTTTTTTTTTTTTTTTTTGAGACAGTCTCACTCTGTTGCCCAAGCTAGAGTGCCAGGCGTCATCCTAGCTCACAGCAACCTCAAACTCCTGGGCTCAAGCGATCCTCCTGCCTCAGCCTCCCAAGTAGCTGGGACTACAGGCATGCGCCACCATGCCCGGCTAATTTTTTCTATATATTTTTAGTTGTCCAATTAATCTCTTTCTAATTTTAGTAGAGACGGGGTCTCGCTCTTGCTCAGGCTGGTTTCGAACTCCTGAGCTCAAACAATCCGCCTGCCTTGGCCGCCCAGAGAGCTAGAATTACAGGCGTGAGCCACCGCACCCAGCCTCCATTATTGATTGATATGCATGTATGTAAAGTATTTAATCAATTCCTGGCTCACTGTAGTGGATAATGAATCATCAACCACAGCTATTCAATAGAACTTCCTGCCATGATGGAAACTTTCCGTATCTGTGCCATCCAATAACTGATCACATGTGGCTATTGAGCACGTGAAATGAGGAACTAAATAGCCATGTGGCTAGTGGCTACCCTATTGCACAGTATAGGAAACTGCTTATCTGTATTGGCTGCCTCCTCCCTGGATCTCAGAGAAAGCAAATTCACTCTACTTGCCTAGAGTAGGCATGATAAGCAAAATAAATCAGTTGTTCATGAAACACATCAAGGGCAGTTGGTCATAAGCCCTGTGGCAAATGCTCCCATGTTCCTATTCCTACTGAAGAAGTTCCTGCTGACCTGTTCCTTCCCTTAGTGAAGCTCTTAGCTAGAATGGATGATCAGGATTAACCAGAAGGCAGATTTTGAGGGGGGTGTGTGTGTGTGTACGTGTACTTTTTAGTCATTAGAGCTGTCCAAAATGACCTTCCAGAGATGAGCTCCCTGTCACTGGGGGTGATCAAGAAAAGACTGTCAGTTATGCTAAAGGGCAACTTTCTACTTTGCGTAGGGCATTGGATGAGATAATACTATAGACTACAAAGTATTTTCTAATACTCTTCTTTTGATTTTACCCAGCCATACCACTTAGATTATTCCCATTTTGCTGGATGAAGAAATTGAGGCTCTGTGACTTTCTTTAGGTTACCAGACTAAGAGCAGCAAACCAAGTATTAAATGCTCATCTTCTCACTTCAAATCTTTTCTGAATCTCACACTATTATTTTGGGACTCTTCCTCCTAAGATTCTGCAATTCCACTGGATCAGGAAACTGGGAACACATTTTTTTTTTCTATTCCCAAATAGAATGTGTTTCAGAAATCAGAATGTCAATTATAAGGGTTAACTTTAGCACAATTACTTTTTTGACAAACAGGGTGTAAATATGCATGGCTAAAGGGAGGTCAAGATATGAATGTAAGAACTGGCTGGAATTAGTCTTTCTGAGGCTTACACTGATTCTCAAGCCTCCACAGCTTCTACTTGTGACCAGTTAGAGAGGAAAACGTTGAATACTGGACCTGTCTTCCCAGGTAGAGAATCACCGGTGTTCAGCACCAGAGTTCTCTGAGGATGAATATTCCTAAGAACATTGGATTAGTATATTGCAAGGTGTCCTCAACTCTAGAAGCTGTTCGTTTGCAACCTGGGTATATTCTCCCATAAAAGTCACTTTATGGCTAGTTCCCAGGCAAACCC